AACAATGGTGATTTTTCAGAAAGAATTTCATAAATAATGCTTTTGAAATCTTGTTGAGTAGTAGAGAAAGTTCCTGCACATGCTCCATTACAGTGAAAATTGTAAAAATTTATGACTTGGAATAAATATCCCTTATTAACAAAGTAAATTCGTTTCAAGAAGGGAAGAAGTGCCTGATGTATAATATTGTTTCACACTGTATTTTTTAGGACGGCCCGATTTATCTGTTGAAAAAAAATGGACAACGTTCTAATAAGTAAGAGTTAATAAAAGAGCAGCGCACAGAGTCAGAATAATCGCCACAAACTTGAGAAAGTCAAACGTCTTTGCCTTGGCAATCGACTGGCGAAACCTCACACCGTGTGTTGTTAGCTCCAGATCATCAGCGAGATTTCGTGTTCCACGCTCAGAAATGTATCATGTGTAACTTGTGTGGTTACATCAACAACATTTTAAATATGTTTCCCACCTCACGCTCACTGTGCAAAAATGTAATCATCACCGCAACTCACGCGATTCATTTTCATCCATTTTCAAAGCCATTTTTTCGCTTTTGCATTTACGAAATGGGTTTTACGCATTCGGGAGAACGAAATAATAACGGTTTATCGAGAGATAAACAATTATCGAACGAGAATCGACTGTGTCGTCGACAAAAGCGATGAAGGAAAGGGAAGAACGATGGGCCGAAAACGAAGGATTCTGATTCGTAGTTCAAGTTTAAATGACTCGTTGTCATTACAAGAGTTTTTGCATAGTTGGGTTGGAATCATGCGTTGGAATGGCTCAACACATTGTACACATTTCGATTGTTCCTTAACTATTACGTCCGCGGAATAATTAATGAAGCTACTCGCAAAATAACCAATATGCAGCGTTTCAAGGATTTCGTAGGTAGGGAGCGGCGTGTAACGCGAAAACTGAGCCCGGTAGGTAAAAATTGATTCCACATTCGAGAAGGCGGGGGCGGGACGGGGCGGGACGCAACGGGGCGGAACGGGCGGGGCGGGTTGGGGCGGGACGCGACGGGGCGGGCCCGGCCAGTTCGGGAGAGGATACTCTATTTACAGGATGCATTATTTTTTTGTCTGAATAGATGAATAGAGTAAATAAATATGCGATAATAGCTATTCACTCATGTTTAATTTATTGGAAAACTATTACATTTTGGAAAAGCATTTCGTATAATTAAAGAAATACAGGCTTTTGCTATATTAAATGGGATACTAAGAGACAACAATAATTCAAAAGAGACAAAACACACACTTATATATTAGGCTGTATCGAAAAAAATAGAATTCAATGGCGTAGCGAAAAAAATAACTTTCAATTGAAAAATAACATCGCCATCCAGAAATCCGTTTTTGTGATGGGTTTAAGCGTGCCTCAATTCCATAAACACCCCATTGTTCGGCCTTTTTAGAAAATCACGATTAAATATTATTCAAAGTTTTTTTTATCAATTGCTTTTGGCCTAGATTGTGCCTACGTTACCCTGTAACACATTTATTATCATCAAACATTACTTATTTGACTTAAACATTGTACCATATTACTTCGAATGTGGCTGTTTTTACTTTAAAAGCATAGAAATGGAAACTTTCAGTTGGTCATAGCTCCGTGATTTTTTATCCAAAATACTCTTAATTTAACTATTATACGCACGCTATGTATTATTACGCACAATTTAACTATTTCACTGAAATCTGCCAAAATTTCTTCGTAAGCCATCACTATTACTGGTCTACAATTGTACCTCACTGCTGTATCTGATTTCTATTCATTATTAGGCTGCATTGAACATTTGTGTAGTGGAACCAAAGTGGTTTTGACGTTACTAGGCTCTAAAGAATACTACAAGGCATTTGGAAGCCTACTGTTTCCTCTTCGTGTCGGCGAGTGCAGCGCTGGCCACCCGCGTCGCCGAAGAAGGCATACTCGGTAATTGCGTTCTGAAAAGCTCCCTTTGCTTTTTTTAGATTTCCTCTGCATTTCAAAACCTCAGTTAGCTATGGACATTTTAATGTGCAAAGATCAGGCAACGGAAAAAGTAGGCAGCACACGGCACCACAGACTCATTAAACTAACAATTTATCTGACCAATCCTCGTTGGTACTTCAATTTATATTAAATATTTATAAGTTTTATGTTATTAAGTATTATGTTTAAAATACAGTAAAACTTGCTTAAGCGAAAACTTCAGGGACGGGAAATTTTTCCCATATTAGACAAGATTCTGCTTTACGCAGTGTAGAATTTGCGATTGGCAGGGCCGCCATTAGAGTTCCCATTTGACAGATTTTCACGTTATCATTCACGTTTCGCATAGAGCACGTTTTACTGTAGTATTTAATTGTGTTTATGAAGTTAAATTATGCTATTCATTTCAGTCCTGATGTGCACAACATGTGTACAATCTACATGTATTATGGTCAGTACGGTGCATAATAATTTTGACTTCTACATCTTTGTAGATTTCAATTTTGCGCTGGATATGACGCGAACTCTTTCTTGAGGCTTTACTAAACAGAAGTAACAAGTTTCTCAACGAAATTATTTAGTGCGAAAACATAAGCGAGAAAAAGAATCTCACAAGACAAGGACACAAGACAAGCGCTTTCTAAACAGGTTAGCACTTTTGTTTGAGGGCATATACCAAGCGTCAAAAAAACTGGTACAGCCATGCGTATTAAAATAAAAAGATCTCGGACGAATACGGCGCGCGGGTCGGCAACGACTATGTAAGACAAACAGAGCCAGGCACAGTTGATAGATTGGTTGCTGGTGCTATAATGGCAGGTTATAACGATTTAAATGACTTTAAACGTGGTGTTATTGTCGGTGTAAGAGAGAGGGGGCATAGCATCTTTAAGGTTGCGATGAAATTTGGATTTTCCCGTACGACCATTTCACAAGTGTACCGTGAATATCGGGGATCCGGTAAAACATTAAATGTCCGGCATCGCTGCGGCCACAAAAAGATCGTGCAAGAACGGTACTGACAACTGAAGAGAATCATTACACGTGACAGAAGTACAACTCTTGTGCAAATTGCTGCAGATTCGCAAAATCCTGCGCAATCAACAAGTGTTAGCGTGCAAACCATTGAATAAGGCATTTCGGAACCAAATGCTCACTCGTGTGTCCCAGTTCTTGCACGACACAAAACTTTGCGCCTGGCCTGGGCCCATCAACCCCGGCAATGTACTGTTGGAAAGTCGTTTACTGGTCTGACGACCATCGTTTCACATTGTTTCGAGCGAATAGACTTTTAGGACTATGACGACCTCATGGATCCATAGACCCTGTATGTCAATAGGGGACATTGAAAATAAAGTTCAATGTAAATTTCCGTAAAATTCAAGCTGGTAGAGGCCCTGTGATGGTATTGGACGTCTGCAGGTGAAGTCATATAGAACCCCTGATAGTGTAGATACGACTGTGATATGTTAGAATCCTCCTGTCTGATCATCTGCACCCATTCAAGTCCATTGTGCATCCCGACTGACTTTGGCAGTTCCAGCAAGTCAATGCAACAGCCCTCACGTTGAGAATTGCTATAGAGTGGCTCTTCTGAATTTAAACACTTCCACTGGCCACCAAAATCCCCAGACATGAACATTATTGAGCATATCTGGGATGCCTTGTAACGTGCTGTTCATAAAATATCAAACCCTCGTCGAGTATATGGACAGCTCTGCACGATTCATGGTATCAATTACCTCCAGCACTACTTCTGAGATTATGAGAGTCCATGCCACGTCATGTTGCGGCACTTCTGCGTGCTCGCTGGGGCCCTACACAATATTAGGCAGTTATTTGGCTCTTCGGTGTATTTACTGTTCTAGGTTCAATTCTAGATTCTGTTGACTATCGAACCTGATTACTTAATTTGGCAACTAAGAAGTTGTGGCTTCTGACACAGGGTAATGCCTAAATGAGTGAACCTTCTCCAGTGGTCCGGGCCCGGGCGTCGCACGGAGTAGGGCAGTGGGGGCGGCGACATGGACACTGTTGCATGCACCGAAACGAAGAGGAAAAATATAGCTCATAGGGTTCCAAACGCCTTATAGTGTTCTTTAAAATCTAGTAACATCAAAACCGTTTTGATATCCATACAAATACGTTCAGTGCAGCCTAATAGGGAATAAAGAAATCAGGAACAGCAGTGCGGTACAATTGGAAGTCGTTATTTGTGATGGTGCGCGACGCAATTTTAGCCGATTGTAGTGAAATATATAGATTATGCGAAGCAAAGTTCGAGCTATATGTGGTACAATGTTTGAGTCAAATAAGTAATGTTTGATGATAATAAAAGTGTGGCGGGGTAATGTGGGCACCTCAGCAAAAATCTATTTCTGAAAGACGCGAAAAAGGCCGAAAAATGGGGTGTTTTATGGGATGTTTGTGGCACCCTTAAACCCATTTCAAAAACGTTCTCATTGGTGCCGATTTGGTTCTTGCATAGACAAGTAACTTTTTTCTACTAAGCCATTGACGTATATACGTGGAAATGAAAGACATAATGAAAGTGCATTACTCATTAAAAACCCTCAGATGTTGTGGTTTTGGCATGTTCGGGGGAAGAACAAAAAGAGAATTCCACGTAAGATTTTAGAATGAATACCAATAGAGAAGAGGGGAAGACCAGTAATTACATGGACGAATGGTATTAATACAATTATGAAAGAGAAAAAAGAAGGCGATTGGGAAGACAAGGAGCTGTGGAGGGAAAAAAATTAAATAGAGGAAATGAAAGTTATTTCTGTTTTGGGTAGAGAAAAATGTTATAATTAAAACATTGAATAACTACTAAATAATGTCATAAATAAATAAGGGAAAAAATGAAGTATATGAATGAAAGAATGAATAAATGAATGAGTTAATAAATAAATAAATTAATAATCATTAATCATTTAATGATTACATTTAATTATTAAAAAATAATGAAAATGTTCATAATTAATTAGTAACTAAGTAAATGTGGCATTTGAAGCAGCGCTTGTGACGCCCTGTTCCCGCCGCAGGGCGCGCCGGGCGTGGGCGTGGGCGTGGGCGGCCGGGGCCTGGCGGGGAGCGCCGATGAAGGCGGCTACCTCTACCTCAAGACGGAGGACCTGGCGGACTACGTGACGGTGCTTCTCCCCGCGGGGACGCCCGACCCCGCCGCCTATGAGAACAGCAGCCTCAAGGTGTGCCACGACAGCTTCTGCTGCCACTTCCAGGTCGTCATGAGCGTGCAGCTGGGCGAGGCCGCGGGCGAGGCCGCGGGCGAGGCCGCGGGCGAGGCCGCGGGCGAGGCCGCGGGCGAGGGCGCGGGCGAGGGCAGGGCGGACGAGCCGCCCTTCGCCAGCGGACAAGACACTGAAGGCGAGTCTCTCTCCAATACTTGTCTACTCGCATTGTTTTATTTTGCCATTAGATAGCTGCAATCCATTGCATAACGATACTCTTTACAACACGGTTTTAATTGTAACACAGGTTCTTGACCAAACACAGAAGTTTAGAAACCAAATATTTACACTTAAACTAATCATTGAAATTGCATTTAATATTAAATTATACTTAAAATTGCATTTAATATCATTTTCTTTCAGTATTAATATTTTTACGCGGAATATTATTTAAAATAAATTGGATCGTAGTTTCACTTTGGAACTATTTGACTAGCGCAGTGGTAAGCCACAGCCACGTGCGGCAGTATAGGGTAGGGAGTTGTCCGTTAAGTAGCCAAGGCTGAGTCTTGCTTGTCAATTGCCACAAAACGATTGAATGTCAAAGTTTACTTAAGTTTTTTAAATAATAAAAGTTTTCATACATCGTCGAAAATGTACCGTATGAAACTCTATGTAATGGGAATTAAAACACTCATGTGAAACTTCACACGATACACGCACTTTGCTCGCTCGTGTCGTAATATCGGGCATTTTTCGTGCATTAATACACATCGTTACCTCATCGTGTCGAAACCTACAATTGCTTGCTTTGCTTCCATCAATTTAAGATAGCAACGCAACACCGTGAAGCGGTTTTTCAGGAATGGGCTCTGACGGCTTCCAATATTTCCTTCTTGAATAATTAAAGCAATGCCTCATTAAACGCTTGTGTTGACAGGCGTGTGGCAACACCTGATGGGCACTAGCGCTAGCAGTACACGTAAGCTTCCGCGGCCCGAATCCATAATTTCTCGGCTATCTGGGAGACGCCGCTTCGTTGGCTGGGAGGCCGACGTTTCGCAGGCTTCCTCAGGGCAGGGACGAGGCCCAGAGGGTGGGTGTGTTGGTAGCCGTGGGGCAACGCCCCATTAGCTCTTGTATTGGCAGGCGTTGGATCAAACCTAATGATTCATGAGTGCGTGTGTTGCCAGGCGTGTGGCAACGTTCATGTGTGCATGTTGTCCGGCGTGGGGTCTGTGCGCGTGACCTCAGCCTGATGAGCGCTTGTTAGGCGTGGGGCATCTCCACGAGCTCTTGTGTTCTCAACCGTGCGGTTTGTGCACGAGTTCTGAGCCTGATGAGCGCTTGGGTGTTACGCGTGGGGAGATGTGTTGCAGCCGTGGGATTCGTGCACGTACCCTGAGCCTGGAGAACGCGTGTGTTGCAGGCATGGGGTTCGTGCGTGCGGCGCGGCGCGCGCCGGTGGGCGGGGCGCTGGCCCGGCACTTCATCATCCCCGAGGGCGAGGAGGAGGACTACCTGGAGGACGACGAGGAGGACGAGGGCGGGGACGACGAGGAGGACGACGAAGAGGACGAGGCGTTCGCGCCGGACCCGGAGGAGATGGAGCCCACGGAGGACGCCTTCGACGACGACGAGGAGATGCAGATGGACACGTCCGCCGAGTTCGCCATCGACCCCGTGCTGCTCAAGGCCTCGGGCATCGGCCACTACGGCCCCGGACAGGTGACGCACCCCTCGCCGCTCAGCTGCGTCAACCGACGTCACTGCAGTGCCACTAGCCGGGAGTCCTGACGGTGGCACGGTTTTCTACACTAGATGGATAGCTAGGTCGAGTTCAACCACTGTCCGGAATGGAAATTAAATGTCCGGCTGCTCTCATCGGTAGTTTTCCTTGGTTTATACAATCAAAACAAGGGAATGTCGGAGCAGTACCCTAACAAACGGGCCACGGACCTCGCACCATCTTTCCTTCCTCTTCCTTGTCCTTCCCTCGTCTATTACTCACACACAGTTACATGCATTCCACTATCACACATGCCGGGAGACCGGTCGGGAGTCTAGAGCTTGTCCCGTCTGGGGCTGTGCCGCGATGGTGGGAGATACCAGATTAAGGAAAATCCCGCTTGCCGACGATAGGTCGGCACCAGATCTTTAAACACTGGGCTTCATCCTGTAGTGCACCTCCCCATGTGTAGTGTCCTCCACATGTGTAGTGTAGTGCATGTAATTCTGTGTGTGAGGAACGAGAAAGGGGAAGGAAAGATTGTGCGCGGTGCATGTCGCGTTTATTAGGATGTAGCAGATGCTCATTGGCGTTTCCGCGTAGGATAACCCTGCGCACTCGACTTCTCAGGTGAAAGTTGTTGCCGACATGTTTGGTTACACCGGTCTTCCCAGGGTCTCTCTATTATTGTTCTCACTTCTCATAGCTTCCTGTTCGTTCTAACAGGTTTTACGGCTACCACTAGAATCTGAATCAAACCGTACGCAGCAATCCACAGGCATGGGCGTTCAGCACAACTAATACCTGACAGAGTTTTCGAACACAACTTGATCTGATCAGTCTGTAGATAAATAAGGTGACAAAATGTGGATATCAGTAAACGAGTCTGAAACACTTAAAAAACCGATTGTGAAGCAACATTAACTAAAATTCAAGTACTGCATCTAATATATTGTATATCCCATATTTTGGGGTATGAGAAAGAGATCATCCAGACAAAGAATTAGGTAAAGGAGTGCGTATATTGTCCAGAATATGACACATAATTCGGCACTGAACAAAGAGTACAAAGAAAAATAACAAATATCGGTTAACACACAGCTAGTCAACATGAAATCGAATTGCTGAACACGCCCTTTCAAAAATTGAAATCGTTTGCTCACTCTGATTCAAGTATTTCTACCCAATTTATTACTCTTTTTACAACAAAATACCCGTGCACGGTAACTATTGCTTTGGCCTGCACTTTTAAACAACAAAATATTAACTTCCTTGGCTAATAGGTGCAACAAATTATATCCCTATTGCTACATAAATTCTTAGATTTTACACAGAACACATTATTGAATGACCTATTAAATACAATTATATACAGTTAGTATCCTCGTAAAGGTGACACCAATCAGGAACAAATATTAACACAGTTTTCCCGTAGCATTTAACACTAGAATGAACTGTGCTACCGGCGTACAAGGTTCTTTCAATTGATTTGCCATTATCTAGATCTTACGAGAATATGCAAATTTACAATCACAGCCTTCCTGCTGCGACACTATCGTTCAAGTCTGTATCAGCTCTCAATCCTTTTACAATTTTGTTGTTACCTTTGTCGGGCCAAAAATGCTCAGCTTGAAAACCGTTCGGCGCTGCCGTCGTACGACGCCCCGATTCCGGCCGCGCCGTTGCCTCGCTCCCTCGCAGTCGAGCCGCCCGCGATGTCGCTCGAAACGCCTTCTTCTTTCTCCTGCCACCAGATCCACGTCCAATCTTGGTTCGTTTTGCCTCTTGGCCACGACCGGCACAAGAATCCTCGCCTCTTCTTCTTTCTTCGCCGCTCTTTCTATGCGGCACGGCAATGCGTCAAAGTCCTTACGCGTGTGTGCTAACGGCGTATTGGTTTTCTGGCGTTCTTTATAACACTTCTTACTAGTTTAGATAACTGTAGAGTTCTACTGACGCCTCGACACCTCGAGCTCATAGTTCTTGCTTTCGCGGCTACTATTCCGCCTGGAACTAGCTACTCCACTACTTTCCACAGTCTTTATGAAATTATACATCGCCATCACAGTACAGAAGGCTGAATCTTCCGCTACCCTACTATTCTTTCGCATGAACAATTACTTCGCACTGTACATTTCTACAAAATGGCGTCTCACAATCCTCACTGATCTAGCTCTCTACGCACGTCCGAACTCTTCGACGACCCTTATCAAAAGCCTGCTCTCTCTAATTACTACCGCTATGGCTGACCGCACAGGTCCTCTCACCTCGGCGTTTCGTACTGAAAGAAGGACGTTCGGTCAGCTGCACCGCTATTTAATAGGTACAGTGACGTCACGACGAACCCTTCCGCATTTTCCGTGAGCTAGAAGTTCGCCGCCGTCGCTCTGCAGGCAGCAACTAACTGATAGCGCTGTTTCAGTATTAGGTTATGCAGTTCTCCTGTGCTCGGGTGTTCTTCTCTGCTTTCACTGACGCTGTGTGTGTGTTGTGGGGTTTCCAGGCTTGTCTCAAACGCCACAATATATATGCCTTTGTTCTGCGGAAGAACAGAAACTATTTTTAATTTGTTATTTATATAGAGTTTTCCTTCCAATATTTTGCAATTTATTCTGGGACCTGGCGTTGAACCTGTTCCTTAAGGTTCTTCTGGTACTGGATTGGGTTTACTATGCGACTGTGAATATACTGCTCTGGCTTTTGATATTCATGGGAAACACCGCGGAAAACTGACATTGACTGCAATCTTCCACTAGGATTCTATTCGCGAGAGCCAATGAATTCGACCAAGCTATGTCGCTATGATGAGATATAAATGTAGCGTCTCCTCAATGTCACAAGCTGAAAGGAGAAGTGGTGAATGGCATTCAATCCGGAGTTCCAATACCAAAAATTGAATTCGTAACAAACCTCCCGATTGGATGACAGTATCCCTCCTCTCCTTCAGCTCGTGACCTTGAGGAGACACTACATGTAAATCCGACAAGAGTGTCGAAATTACGCTGCAATCAGATCTCGAACGTTAGTACATTCAGATCGTAGCGTCACCCCAACTTTTTTCCACCACAGGTCGTAAGAGTTTGGGGTTTATTTTAAGGGTCATATCTTGTAAACCAATAAACATAGACGCGAGTATCTTTTTGTACTTTAACTATACAATCTTGTACTTTTGTATTAATTTCCAGCATTTATATTTACACGAATAGGGCATGCACATCCGTGTATTCCAAAGCTATTTTATGGCACTTTAATAACAACAAACGAAATATACCGGTGTTTTTATGTTCTTTATTGATAAGATAAATTCATTTGAACTGCACATGGGCATAACTCGGTGGCAGCTAATTACATAAATAAGATAATACAGCTAACATGCAAATTGTATAATAATAATAATAATAATAATAATAATAATAATAATAATAATAATATAATGGTACACATAATAATCATAGAAGGAATAACAACTGATAAAATAAACGATAATAATAATAATATCAACATTAATAATAAAAATAATAATGATATACAAACTGTCTAATTCATAAAACATTAAATTATCTTAAAAAAAGAAATAATTACTATTTATGTATAAATATCTGTAAATAACCCTGGAACGGGAAATGGCATGATCTAAGCAGATATTTAGTGTGAACCACGTGCCCGTATTTCCACGGGCGTCGTCATTTAAGGCGACCTCTCAGCTCCCGTAGATTCTGGCGGTCTTGGGGCTCGGCGGAGTGGAGAGCCGCTCCCGCCAGCGGCGGCGCTGACGCAGGCGTGCCAACAGGTGTTCAAGGAGAGCGTGGAGCGCGAGGACATGGAGCCGTCGGAGACGACCATCCGCGCGCAGGCCATCGCGGACGAGAAGCAGGCGGAGGAGCTGGCGGAGATGCAGGCGCACATGCCGGGCGTCAAGGCGCCCGACGCGGCCCCTGACGTGGCCTCTGACGCGGCCCCTCAGGAGGCCACTGAGGAGGCCCCTGAAGCGGCCCCTGAGCAGGCCCCTGAGGCGGCGCCCGAGGCGGCGGCCTCGCGAGAGGACCAGCGCTACTACTACCGCGTGGCCGTGTTCAGCGGCCGGCGCACCTTCGACGGCATCACGGACGGCGGCCTGCAGGTGCCACGCCCCCGCCCCCGCCCCCTCCCCTCTTCCATACGAAATATACCAACACATTTTATGGTTTACTAGATTATTGACGCTCATGTGTTTACGAACCTCAAACAAAACGCTTTAATACCTTTGCGGACCTTCTGAATACTTTATGACCCGGTATAATGCCAACAGAACAAAAACAACTTTTTTATGAATTTGATTTATTAAAGTTATCATACAAGCAAACACAATAAATAAATTTAATAATGCTCAAATAAGTAAAATAACTCGTTATGTACCTAATTGTGCTTAATTGATATGAAATTTGCAATTTTAGATTGAACCCATGTTTAATAATTGCCATCAGTCAATCATATTTCACTGTTACATATGGCCTGTTTAGACACATTTATTCGTCTACATTAGTAATATTTCTGGTAACAATAAGATGTATAAGTCTCATTAGCTAACATTCCCGTGTTAGAACATGTTATGAACTACTTTATATCCCTTTTAGCAACAGAGGCAAAGAACACCCTCTTTCACCAGCGCAATTTACAAAGTTCAAAAATCACTCCAACAACGATTATTCAATAGTAATTAGAAACACACACTCTCTTGTTTATCTAACGTCAATGACCAATGGCATTGCAATGCATCAAATCACTTAATGCGCAGAACAGATTATAAAATGTTTCGAATTCTCATTTGATTCAGCAACGAACTAGTAAACCGTAAAGCGTTGGATACACCACGGGCGTTGTTAGATATATTTTCCCCCGTGGGCAACTTCCAACGCCGAGGGCTCTGCCCTCTGGCCCTGGGGTTGGAAGTCGCCTGCAGTGCAAAACATATTCTTAACGCACCAAATTAATAACTATTCGATATTGATGTTTTACACTTATCATTAACTAACTATTAACTACAACATATACTTTAGTTCAACCGAGACATGAGGAGGGTGTTCGCACTGTTATATTAAATGGCTTTACGCGAATGGATATTAACCGGCACCTACGTCACTTATGGTGTAAACCACCGACACGGACTTCGAGGAGCGAACAAAGTGCGCCAGCACGAGTAACTATCGGATGAATACAATCATTTAACGTAAATAAAGTAGTGATCCTATATCAACACATTTTTTCACATTATTTATAACTTGTCATTTTTGAAAATTCAGACGGTGCAGTAAAAATCAAGAGCCCCGCTCTTTTTATGAGCGTATACGATTTTTTATGTTGCAAATCGTTGTTTTCTGCTACATAATTACAATACTTTCACGATTCTACGTACATAAGTGCGGTGCTTGGAATGTGTTTTAGACGCAGTTAATTTTTTAATCTAGTCTACCTCTTTTGTGGTGTACAGAGGTTTCAAAGGGTCGCGCAGGGTTGTTTGTCCCTCGTGTGTGGTGCATGTGTTGTTGGGGAGGGACTCGCGCCCCACGCGTGGGCAGAGGGAGGACGGCTGCCGCCTGGCTAAACGGGCGCCGCGCGGGCGCGTTGCAGGTGTGCGCGGTGATCCCGTGCACGGGCGTGACGCCCGACACGTGCGGCAAGCTGCACCACTTCCCCAGCGACCTGGCGCTCACCGCCTTTCGCCACGTGCGCATCTCGGGCCGCTTCGCGCGCGTGCGCTCGCTGCCGCTGCCGTCGACGCTGGACGCGCAGCTGCTGCCGCTGCCCGCCGACGCCTTCTCGCTCACGGTGCGCCCACGGCCCCTTCCCAAGCGCGTATACGCTTGGCTATAGAGGCCGACGCTTCGCCTGGCATGTCGCACGCTTCCTCAGGGTGGTGACGATATTGCCCTGAGGAAGCCTGCGACATGTCAGGCGAAACGTCGGCACCCCAGCCAACGACGCGGCGTCTCCCGGGTAGCCGAGAATTCATGGATTCGAGGCGCGGAATCGTACGTGTGCTTCCCAACCAAACGCCTGTCCTCACTGTCCGTCCCCACGGCCCGACCTCACTCACTTCCGGTCCTGAAGATCCGTCCTCACTCTCTGTCCTCTCTGCTCGACATCATAACACCAACATGTTGCCAACTTCAAAACTGTTTTTGGAATATGTTTCCAGAATTAGTTTTGGTTCTTTTATAAATTCTGTGCTGAAATAGCAAAATGGCATAAGTCACTCTTGTTTGTTAATTTTTAGGAGACGAAGTTGCATTTTTCTTGTACTTTATGAAAATAAGGAGGCAAATTTCATTAAGACAAAAGCCAAAGAGTAATTTTTGATTGTATTCTAGTGCCGTTCCGTTGAAAAAATATTTCATAAAATTTATTAGAGGGCATTTTATGGCACGGCCCGTCCTTGCCACCCGAACTCCGCACAAACCGTTTTGCCCTGACTCGGCGCTCCTCCTTACCACCACTCTTCACCATCCTCACTGCTCGCCCTCACTTCCTGTCCTCACTGCCCTCTCTCGGTGCCCGCCCTCACTGCCCGCGCTCCGTGCTCTATACCTACATCTTATGTTGCCAACTGCAAAACATTTTTTAAATATGTTTCCAAAAATAATTTTCGTTCTTTTACAGTTTTATAATACTGTTAAACAAAATTAGTGTATGCAACTCGTTTGTAATGCTTCTAACGTCACTTCTTCATGTACTTATGCAATAAAGCGTAACGTTACAAACAAGTTGCATTGCCATTCCCACCCGTTTTGAGTTTTTTTTTCAAAAATTGTATCTATTGTCAAAGATTCTAAATATTTTCTCATGACTTCTAAATATTTAGACATGAAAAATTCATAAAACTTCGAAACTTTACCAAAAGCCATTACAAGGTTTTTGAAAGTTTCTTATAAAAATATCTCAACATTAAAAGAGCAACTTTTTACCCATACAAAGAGTGAAGACCCAGCCTGGATGGCCCAGGTTGCTAAGGTTGAAGGATCATGGCTGTCTTGTGCCTGAAGGGTTGGGGCATCGAATCCCGCCCAGAGAATGGAAGTTTGTGTGTGTGTGTGTGTGTGTTCGTATAGCTTATACGATTTCTGCTACCTTTATCTCTTACGTTGCAAAGTTATATTACATCCAGTGGTCGCTGTATCACCTTAGTAGTTGACAAGCGACTTTACATAACTAAAATAGGGGAGGAGAAATAAATACTCGGGCGGCCGTTGTTTCGCCTCCCCTCCGGTTATGTTAAAGGTCCCACAATAGTGTAAAAACAGTTGTTCACTAGTTTCTCTCAGATTTCGCAGCTAAATTTTTACAAGGTGTTTCAAAAGTTTAAATTAATTTGGATGTTCAAATTTATTAATGTTTCTTGTGAATCTCGACTTGTTGCGTGAAATATGTCATATTCACTTGATTTGATGATTCCTGATCCTCCGTAATCAATTTGTAAATAGTCTTCTGATGCGCGCCATTTTTCGTATCATTCTTCTGAGCTTTAGAGTGGTCTTTGTATACTATATCTTTGTTTGCTGCTTCATGTCCAGGTCATTTCTGCAATGGACATATAAATAACTTAGAAGAAACTGAATTGAACCCACAATGAAGTGGACATTTATTTATTCTAATGGACATTTCTACAAGTGAACGTTTACCTGTAGACCAATTGACTGACAACCTTTTACGAAGAAGTGGATTCTAATGAAATGTCATTTTTTCTTTTCACTTTAGAAAAATTACGTTTAGTACATAAATTAATTTGATGTTATGACTCAAGGAAATGGTCCATTTTTATACGCCATTTTTGCATTTTCTTAGATTTCGACCATGTCATTTTTTACGGTTTTTCGTCATTTTAATGTATTTTTTGCTTACTTCATCAATATAAATATAATTTTACTTGCTTCAGATAATATTTACGAGTTGCAACAAATGTTCTCCACCGAATTCCTAAATACCTGTACCTGATAGCCTTTTCGATTTCTTCGCTCAGAAGTTGTAATGTCAGCTATTGTGAGTAAGTAATCTCAGGTTCACGCCTGTCAGCGCCGTTGTCGGTTCAGCCGATTTAGAGATAAATAAAAAAGACATTTTATGGTAAAGAACCGTCCGAAACAAAAGTTTGAAAGCTGAGTTCAGTTGAACGAAAATAAGAAACCTGGATTACATCGGTAACGTATGCAACAGCTTTAGCTATTCATCCGAACTGGTTTTGATCCATTTTTTCATAATTTTTCTTTCCTTTAAGAGTACTTTCCAACCATTTAACATCATTTCATTGATCATTTTTTCCATGTTTGAGGTCATAAAAGTCCGCTCCCATACCTGTTGCCTCATGTGACCGTAAGTTGAGAGAGCGTCCGTTGATGGCGCTGCTGTTGATGTGCAGGCCAGCGTGCGGCGGAAGGAAACGGACATCGTCATGGAGACCCACAAGCCGGTCAGCTTCCTCACCTTCGGCATCTACAACCGGAACTTCGCCAACGACCCCGAGCGCCAGCCGTCCATCGGGTAGCTGCAGCCGCCTTTCTTTCCTTATATTATTCTTTTGTCACTAAACGTTTCAGAATAAAATACAAACAGTATGGACATTTGCATTATTTCGAACATTCCTTCCTGGCCAAAAAAGGTTATTAACGTTTTATTTTTCGAACAACTGCTCAAAATGTGATCACTGAATAAGAGCTTTCTGCAAGGTGTAACCTCAAAATACTAACATTTACCATAGAGGGGTTATTCCGCTTCTGGCTGCAGTTTCGCCGTAATACAGAAATTAACCTTCCGAGTTAACTCCGCCTTATTTTAAACTGTTTTAGAGTTAATGCATTTTGATTAGTTGCTTCACATTTTGTATTGCTTTGTTTCGCCCATAAAAGAAGGCGTAGGGGCAGATTCAACCTCTGAGTCTTCCTGGCGCAGACAAGCACAGTGATGGTCGTTTTCATCTACAGAGGGCATGGCGGTAGGGGTGGTTATGAGATTATGATTAGTTATGATGTTACGTGGTACTTTTAATTATGTCATTATAATTTAACAGTACCAACCTTTGAAACTTTTATTTACTTTCATGTTGCTCAATGTACCATTCTTAGGATATTAGCCCATAAGTGGTAGGATAGGTGTACGAGACCCTCGCGATTGTTTCCTCTTGAAAAATCGCGTATCGTCGAAACTGAGATGAACGATCCTGCCTGCCTTGAAGTTAAAAGAATATTAGTATTCATAGGAAGTGGCGTATTAGAGACTTACATCTTCTAATAACAGCCGATTATTTACGTAGGGGTCTTAGACACGTATCGTGCCAGTTCTGTCTTCCTCTCGGTGATTTACAAATTATTCAAGAATTACACAAGTTTATCTGGTTCTTAAGATGCTAATTTTTGTTCAGTGAGTATGAATACTATACACGGCGTAAAATATAATTATAATTGTTGTGCATACGGCTACAACACAATTAAACTCAGCACTCCCGCAACGCGTACATCCAAACCTAGAGTAGTACGTGTAAAGTAGCCAAGCCGTCAGACTTAAAGCGTACGCTGCGTATAGACGTCGGCCGCTCCTCTGAGCTAGTTCACGGCCACTGCAGTCTCTATCTCGCAAGGAAGCCACTTTCGTAGTGAAATGTGGAAGTGGAGGGGTCGCCACACAATCTGCTCCTTGAGCTGAGGATGACGAATAGATGGAATCCTACCTTCTCCTCCCCTTGCACCACATCGGCCTATGAGCCGATGCTCATAGCATAGGGGTACATTTACCTTTACCTACATCTCTTGCATTTAACTCAACTCTCCCGGCCGACGACTGTCTCTACTGTTGCTAATACCATTGTTGCCATTGACTAATAAAAATTAGACTTATCTAAATACGAAACTAGTTATACTTCCAGAAATACACATAAGGTATTCTATAGTCTGTTAATCTACAGATGGCCCAGAAACGAATGCCAAAAAGGCTAACACAGACAGACCTCTTGTAACCCCAAGCAGGTGTTCCTGCAGTACAAGGGTAAAAAAATGAACCCTTCTGTACATCCTGCGACCTTAATATCAGTTTTCTGAATGTCTAATCTCATCTTCATCACCAATAATTAAAACACCATTAAATAAACTTAGACCACATTGACTCTTTTTTTACTTATTCACGTCAGACACCACAACGGTGTCGACCGTTCTAAGTGTTTCGTCTTCTAATAGAGACAATTCATTGATAAGGGTCGCTTCTCCTCCCACCCGTCCCCATTTCCTTGCCCCAACCCTCCCAACATGCAGACAATTGCTACTCGTGAGCAGGAAGAAGAGAGAAAAGGAGAAATGAGAGTAAACAGTTGGGATCACCGTGAAAATGAGTATCAGCTGCCTAAATATCATCTTTCCTCGTACACAACATTTTGCACAACGACTACGGATTGAGGAAACACCTTTACTCGCAATTAGGTAATTGGCCCCATCACTTTCACTGTTTGTTATTTAATTGGCTTCCAGTGAAAAAGGTCGTTATTGTGTTTTCCCTTAAATGTTGAAGTTCATCCAATATTCCTTGCATCAATGTTTAATTTATTGCTAGCCTTCTTTTACTCGGTCAATATTAACAATATTTAAACTTTTGTAACCGTCGCAGACGAAAGATGGATGGTGGTTCAGATGTGTGACGAGGTGGTGCGCGAAACTAATGAGGTATGATATGAAGAAAATGCCAAAATCTCCTGAATTGGGCTACACGATATTGAACGCAGCTCCAAGCCTTTATGTCACTTCGGTTTAACAACTTTAAGATATAAGTGAAAAATAATGTCAACATAATTGACTCCCTAATTTCTTTGTCTTGTCGCAAACATCGGCAGCATTTGGAAAAGGCAATGGAAATATAGATAATGTAGATTAAGAATTTCTCATAAAATGGATACAAGTACTTATCTGTATCGATTCAAGGGCCTATTTGTAACCATGCTTATTTGTATTAGTCTCTCTGACGACGAAACAATCCACTCTTATATTGGAATATCTTAGTGGTACATACATACTGTCCAACTGATAAGATGCACCCTCCGGTCAAAGTGGAATATCTTGCAAATCGCATGAGGAATGACTCGAAAGAATACCAATGAGCGACTTCTTGATTTCCCATTTCGTAAGGAACGAAAGTAGAATGAAGACGCTACTTCATACCGTGATCTCACGGCTGACTAATCGAGCAAGCGCACAAATTAGTGCGAAATGCTGAGCAAAGAGACATATTCAATCGCTCCCTCTGGACGCCCCATTAAATTATGAGGCGCGTGCCCAACTAACCCCTGTCGCCGCTGTCGCTTGATGGCTGCGATAACTCACACGCCGGCCACCGCCCCCCCCCCATGACCAACGACGCAGCCCCCGACTCAGGGAGAAATAGAATGCACAGGGCATTTTGGAGACTTTTAAAATTAAACTAGTGGTGCTAAAGCAGCACCTACTTTCTCACTCGAATTTTCACACTAATTATTTACAGATATCTTTAAGGGAAATATTTATATCTTCATAATATTTGTTGTTGTAGGGAAACGCCGAAAAAAAATGTTGAACTTTTGCAATTTTCAAAAAATTAGGATTTTTAACGATAATAAGAACTACACCTTTCTGTAAACACCCTTTACAATATCCAACAACAAAACTTAATCAAAACAATGGAGTGACGTTTTTGAAAATTTTGAAAGTGTCACAGGGCTTTATGTAAAGTACCCTCCAAAATGAAATAAATGATTTAAAATTCAATGGGCTGCTGCATCAGCCAGATTGATTGAGTAATACCAATTTTCTTTATAGACGGATAGATATTGTGACGTTTTGCCGTCCAAAATTTTTCGGTATCAAGGAAGCACAAAACATCCATTGTGGCTACACCATATGTTAGAAGATTTTTTTGTAAATTTAGCAACTGGAATTATACACTTTTTTGTGACTAGGTCCTTATAAAGTGTTTCTGCCGAAAATTCGCAGTTTTGTCGCCCAGTATTACTTAACTTTCTCTCTACAGTAGTAAATGAACTCATAATATGTAATGGTGGAAAGATTGGAAATATACCATAAGCCATTCTAAATAAATATTATTTTTTACAGAAGATATATTTAGTTAAAGAATGGAGTTTATCCGCAACCACAATACAATAGTATACAAATAAAAGTGAATTCATATAGTGTAACCGACATCTATATCACTAACAGTAGTAAATGAATCAGAACAAAGGTTTTGCGGCCTCGCCTTGAGGATTGTCCCAGTGATCTTGCAGAGATAGCTAAAGATTAATAGAACACAAATGTGCAAAAACTAATTTAATATGCACTATGAGATTTATTTTTCACCTATCATTAAGAGCAGAATGGTTTGTAATATTTTCAGCCAGAGGGCAAAAGCAGGGAGTTAGATAAAATTTGTAATCTAATTTGAAAGTACTGTAAAATAAAATTAAATAATATGATAGTATTTTATAAAATTGGGTAGAGGATTAAGATAAGCAAAACTGCCCAAAGATATAAAAATAATTGACGTTGAAAATTGTAATTGAAGTTTTGTCGGGTTTAAATCAATTTACCCAGAGCACTTCGTACAAATGTAAAAAAACGTGATGTTTAGCTTCTTATATAAGTTTAAATGTTTTAACCACATTACGCCTCTGAATATTGGCTTTAATTATCCTTGTTTCGTTCATTCCTTACGCAAGTTAATTCATTCAAATTTAAAATTAAATTATTGTTATGGAAAAGGTCACACGCATCAGATGGCATCGCGTATTTTATAAAATTATATTGAATATAACGTTGCAACAAAACACGCCAGGAAACGTGCAGTTTTGCTCTACCTGCAAGCGTTTTCGGGGCGCGGGGGACGCTGAGGCATGCAGCCCTATTTTCTCGGCACAACCCAAGCCAAGCCTCATTCTGTGACGCAGAAGAAAGTACGGACGCCGCCCCTTCCGAGCTACGCACTGATTCCGAGTCCTTTTCTCGGAACTCGGATGAAGTTTGGGTTTCGCAGAATTTGGCAAGGCGCGGGCGTCCGCCAACGTCACCGCGATTGGGCGGAAGAAAGCGCGTGACGCGCGCCCGCCAATCGGGGGAAATGAAGCGGAGGAGGGTCACGTGACCTGCGCGGCCTCCGAGGTGAACTGAAGACGCTAGCTCGTTCATTCTATTTTCGGCATCCAGGATTCAACATTCTCGATTCTGATCCTGCACATTCATCATTGTTTTCTGCATTGTTTTCTCATCTTCTGCTTCAACGCACGGGGCGACGCCAGTTCATGCATTGCCGCCGCGCCATCGCCCGAATGCCTTGCCTCATCGCCACATCTCAAGCCGACTCTGGGGTCACTGCCTCTGAACGACGCAGTGGGCCAGGACTAAGTGCCTGACCGCGAGCCCAGAGTCCGGAAAGACACTGCCCGGCTGCGGTACAAAAACGAACTCTGGCCAGTGCGGCCGTTTAAGATAAGATTATTTTTAAGATGAATTTTAGCATGAGGCTTCACATCGAACACAAAAAATTCATCAAAATCATTTAAAGGAAAATGAAAAAATGCGTTTGAATGTTAGCCCTGTCAGGCATGCCTCCCTCCTGGGAGTGTATCGATGGAGCAGCCGGGGCAACGCGAAGCGGAGGAAAATCAGATGATCAGGTGGGTCGGGTTAACCACGAGGAGTAGTGGTCACAATAGGTTTTAATATTATTCTTTCATTTTCTTTTTCATTGTCTTGTCTCAAAATACGAAAATTAATAAAATAAACCTAATTTAAGGAACATAACAAACTATTCACTTAGATCTTTATTTATAAGAAGCTGTCGGGCCCAAATTATAAGATAAAAGGTTGAAATTTTGGGACTCTAGAGAATTTATAGGGATAGAATTTTAGCTCTTCTTATATGTGCTAAAACACGAAATATTCTTAAAAAACGAAGGAAAAGAATCATTGTTTGCTATTTTTTCGTTCTTTTTGTCGATTGCGAGTGTCAAAATAAGAATTAAACGCCAGAAAATTCTCCATTATCTATAAATTTCATTATCTCAATTTGTAACATCAAAAAAAAAACAATATTTGTACACATTCCCTGGCGTAATGTGATTAAAAAATACTAATATAAGAGGCTAAAAAACACGTTTTTTCATTTGTACAAAGTACTCGAAAAAACGTATTTTTTACACTTCAATAACGATTTACAACATTAAAAAATAGTATCCAAGGAGCAGTTTTGCCTATCAACACCTCTACCCTTAGAGAACCAATTACATAACAAACAATCTTAAAACCGGTGGATCATATAAAATTGATATTTTTCCTCGTTCAGCAGGATATGTAGAAAGACCAGTGGTGACCCCGGCCAAGAGGGGGTGCAGCGTGGCTTCACGGGGGGGGGGAGGAGGGCTCTGGGGCTAAAGGAGGTGAGACGAAGGGCAAGTGGAGTGGGCCGTGGCGTAGGTGATAGTGAGTCGTAGAGGCTGGAGCGTGCCCGGAGCCCCATGACTATAGTAGTGGCCCGGCCAAGATGAAACACATTCGAGTGGGAGAGAGTTCTCGGGGCAAGGGAGGTGAGTTGTGGAGGGGCGTTGAGTGGGCTCCGGCGTGGCGTGAGTGACGCTTATGGCCGGTGCGTGGCTTGGAGCTCCCAAGACTAGTGATGGCCCGGGTCAAGGGGAAAGACAGTGTGGCTGATGAGGAATAAAGCGATCTTGAACTAAAGAAAGGAGCTCCCAAGGTGCTAGGGTGGCAAGTAGAGCGAGCCCCCACACAGCGTGGGTGAGACATAGTGGCCGGTGCGTGGCCCCAAAGTTCTAGTGGTGGCCCCGGCCAAGGGGAGACGCAGCGTGGCTGCCGTGTAGGGAAGCGTTCTTGGGCTAAAGAAAGTGTGGTAGTGTGGCAAGTAGAGCGAGCACCAGAACAACGGGGGAGGGGGAGTCCTAGCACAGTAGCTGGTGCGTGGCTCAGAGCCCCAAGACTAGTGATGGCCCGTATAAGGGAGACGCATCGTGGCTGCTTGGGAAGGAAGGGTTATCGGGCCAAAGGAGGCGAGTTGGGGGGGGGGCATGTGTCGTTGGCGGTTGCTTGGTGATTGTGACACATAGTGGTCGGAGCGGTGCTCCGAATTCCCATGTCTCTAATGGTGAACCGGCCCAGGGGTGACTCAGCGTGTCCGCTAAGGGGGAGGGTTGTCGGGCTAAATTAGGTGAGGTAGGGAGCAAGCTTCAAACCTCACCCCGTGCCAAACATACTATTTAACTTTAAAAAAAATGGCGTTGTTAGCAGCGAAAGGGAGAAGGTCAAGTAACCAACCAAGTTGGTTATTAATATATTTAATAATTATTCCTGCTTTAACGTATCCCAGTTCCTCATAATCAAATATACAATCTAAAATGTTATGAACCGAAAACCGCAAATCATACCAAAAATAAAGCCAAAAATTAAATAATCTAGAAAAACTACGTGAAGCAAGTAAGACGAATATACAGAAAGTGAATGTCTAAAATTCGGAGGAAAGAGGAAACAATTTGGTTCTGTTTACATGTCTGAAGGGGTTGTTTATTTTGTCGGACGCGGGCCCGCCGGCACGCTAAGCTTCTCATGACGCAACATCCCCGAACAAAGATAGCAAAACTTCTTCATAGGCCTTCAAACGCCATTTAGTGGCCACTGAGACCTGCGTTAGTATCTTCGAGAACCACCAGACACCGTCGCAGACACTCAATGTGTGGCGCTACCTAGCAGTGAATAAATGAATGAGACGCACCGGCGCTGCTAAGGAACGAGTCAGTCATCAGCAGGAGTGGCACGGAGTTTGCGCGACCGAAACGTGAGCCAACAGCAGTAGTGGCAGGACCTACGCACGGCTCATTTGTGAGACGTTAGTGCGTAAAGGGCTAGAAGTGGAACAAATGTGGACACTGACATTCTTTGGCCTTCGTTTCATTCATCTCTCATTTCATTGCCTCTATACGTGTGGTGACTTGTTCAGACTAACATTAGAAGATGGAATTGCATTCCCGAGGGTGTTCTCATTATTTTTCGAGTGATGTTACGTTGCAGAAGACTTTTTTTATCGCGATTTCTACATTCACCATTGGAGAGAAAACGTAAGTATTGTTGCTCTTTATTACATAATTTTAAAAAAATTTTGAATTTCCTTAATAATAGAATGTTAAATATGTGAGATGGAAGATTTTATTGATGATTACATTTTCAAATATGTGAAAAAACATTATAAATTGTTTATGTGGAACAACGGGTATAAACAGTTCCATCCTTTTACTTGTTTGTACATAATTTATAAACCTAACAGTCAGAAAAATTCTCTAACTCCTTGAAGTTAACGTTAATTTTTCAAATGCCTGTATATTCATTACACTTCTTGAACGTAGCACTAGATGTGAGAACGCAGATTAGGGAGTAAGCAACGAACAACCTCTCTGCGTGAACTTTTGGTAGAAGGAGAAGCTCTGATTTTTCGTTTCAACGAATTTTAAAGAGTTGGACACAAAGATAACGCGGGAGAAATTATAGGTCAAAATGCCGTCCAGAAAGAAAACCATTCAACATATACGGGGACAGATTAGTCTCATCTGTTTTCAGCTTGCCAGTTAGCAGACGTAACGTTGTGCCAATGTGCCCGCGGCCCCCCACATGTCGTGAGGCTAGCGAGGGGTGGGGCAGTCCATTGACGGCAAGGGGAGGCCAGCAGAGGCGGGCCCTCCTCAAGGGCCGGGTCGGGCGTGTTTCGGAACGTGTCAAGTAGCGCAGAGGGAGATGATAGGAAGAGTCCAGCCGCGGAGCAGGCCCAGGGACGAGAGGACGCCGCCGGCATGGGAAGTCGGTCACGTGATCCCTGGCGAGGCGGCTGGAGAGTAACTTGCCGGAGTCATTCGAGTTTGAACCGAATCGCGGTGCGGAAGGCACTTTTCATCCGCCAGGGGTTATGGCTACCTTCGGCTGCGAGGTGTGGCACGTTTTCATGATCTGCTTCGATTCTTCTGTTGAAAATGCCTGGCTGCTTTATAGACGGAGAAATAAAAATGTAGATCATCGAGCATTTAGAAGGCAAATAGTGCAAACATATTTGTAAAAATATAGGAAGACCGAATTCCAGCAAACTACTGTTATCATGCATAAATAGTAGTTATATTTTAAAAACGAACATTGGATTTTACCTGCAATCAAACAAATGCGTGACACGTTATCCAAACAAAATACAATGAAATAATGTGAGAATTTCAAAATAAATGTTCATGAAAAATGTTAAAAAAATTATCACAAATATTCATAACAAATACATCACTCTTGCACATGAGAATTCTGAAATTCAAATGAATTCACATTTATCATTCTATTTATTATTTGAAAACATGTAATAGTTCTTCGATATTTTTCGCAAATTTCATATTTATTATCCTCATTCCTATGTATTAAAAATATAGACAATATTAAAGAACAAATCGTTTATTATTCATAAAAAATGCAAAACATTACCTCCAAACTACTGATAACATTCGTTTCCGTTATTCCACTTACGGAACACGGATTATCTAGGGTTATGAATTCAGAATTTCATATAAATAATATTTTTACTTCAAAATGACTTCTTCTTAAATCATTTTATGCATTTTTTAAAAACTTGGGGAAAAACGATTGCGGCATTAAGGGTCCACTCTTTTTTCAGCATCGTAAAAATCTGAAATAATTCCATTTAGTAAAGCAAGAAGAGACACAAAATATGTTAAAAGCTACAAGGCAATTAGTCTTTTGCTCCATCCTATCAAAAATATTCGAAAGTCTAATACTGACTGGACTTATTAAATTCCTCAATTGTGGTAACACTACTTATTTTGTTTTTCATTTCGGATACAGAGCTAATCAGTCAACAACGCACTAACTGAAATTCCGGTCTACATACAAAATATTTTAAAATACAAAATTGTACCGCTAGCAGATCATGTATTGTAAAAATTCATTCTTCAACCTCCAACCCACACACCCAATTACGGCAGGAATTGTACAATATGACCGTCCAGCCAGAACATCCTGGAGCCATCCACATTCACAGACGTGAAGTAATTCGAACGCGCTCTTCTAAGAGA